AAGTAACCGAATAAGGAATAAGTAACCGAATAAGTAACAGGACTTTTGAATAAGGAATGGGTTATATTTTGTGTTTTTAGTGGTATATTTAACAATTTTAGGGTGTCATCTAGATGAAGAGGGGGTGCTAGTATGATGAAACAGGTATTTTAGCATCAAAATCATAAAAAAACATAAAAAAGTTGAATAAGTAACCGAATAAGGAACCGGGAATAAGTAACCAACTTCACATTTGAATAAGTAACCGAATAAGGAATAAGGAACCAGGAATCAACTTCACAGGGGTATTTATGCGTTTTGAGCTGATAGCAATTTAGCGTGAACCCACAGGGAGTAAGGTCGATCCAGATGGATTGATCTAAGTATGGGAACCCAGTCTTAGAGACAATTACATGTATCATTTGCAATACCTGTTTCCTGCAATGTGTGGAAATATTCAAATCCAATTTTCTCTGCCTGCCAGCCCAGGTACTGGACCACACCCTCAACACTGGCGTCCACCAATGTCCCATTCTGTCTTTCACACATGATTTTTGCTGCTCCCCATTTTGTGAAGTTAAGTTGGAATTCATAACAGTGGTTGTGGAAAGTTGAAACCAGCAAACGCTTTGGACATAATGATGAGGGTATTGCTGAAATAAACAAAAACATGCCATTAGATCCTTTTCCCAAATAAAGGAGCAGCTAATCAAACTTTTCTAATGTCTTTAGTTCAAATACCCTATTTCTTACAAATGTCCTTTTTTGATTACTACTCTTTCTAAAACTTTGCCGTTTTCATGCAAAAGTAAATCAAAGAATGAATACATGCATGTATGCAACCACTTGGATTAAGGGACCATTTCCAGACCCTATCGTACTAACTGTGGTTCGATCTATCTCCAAGGAGATTCTAGCTAAATTGCAATCAATGTAAGCGGCTTAGATGTTTTTCACGCCCACTGAAACTGCCATGGGGTAGTTAATTATCATTTAGCAGCTTCAGTAAGTGTGCCAGATATCTAAGCCACTTAAGCTGAAAGCAATTTGGTGAGAAAACGCTTGGAGATGGATCAATTCTGTTAGATGGATCTGGGTATGGGAACCCAGTCTTAGTCACAAGGGAAACGTGAATAAGTAACTGAATAGTGTGGTACTAAAATATTGTCAATGTTTCCAGACAATTATAACAAAAATGTCTACTCAGATTAGATTAAACAAAAATTATTGATGAGTATAAAAGAAACCAAGCATTTTGTGTTGCTTTGAACATTTTTTTTTTTTTTTTTTGACAATTTTCAAATCAAAGTATGAACTTTGCAGATGATTGCCTCCAAGAAAGAAGGTACCCTCAATCCTACTGGGTTTCCCACACTTAAATATATGGTAATGACTCAATCTTTGCTGCTACCACTCAATAAGATGTTCTAATCTTGAGATATTATGACTTAAAAAAGATAAAGTCTGTAAAATTCACAATTTTCCCCTATTGAAAAGATTGAGTAATTACCGTACACATATACTTATACTTACAACATACTGGCTGAACCCCATTCCATGTAGAGTCCCCCTGACACTGTCTCCTGTCACTTCCAGAAAGCGTTAAACCAGGGTCACACCCAAATTCAGCCTCAGAAAGCAGATTTCTTAAGGGGGGTAGCTTGATGTGGCCACCTTCTGTAGCCTCCAATACAGGACAAGTGACTGTAGCAGAGTTTACTGAAATAATCAATTCGGAGTAAACAAAAATTGAGTATAAAATATTTTTAAAAAGGGGGGTTTTACACAAACAATTATGTCAACAAAGGTGTAAACATACTAGCATGTTGACCCCCCTCCCCCACCACCAGATCCACCTCCACTTAAACAAAATCCTGGATCCACCAGTAAAGTGAATAGAATTAATTTTTATGGCAAACTGGAGAAGAAATCCATAATCCCTATGTTACCTTGTATGTACTTATTGTTAATATTGAATAAAAAAATTTAATCTTTTTTTTTTTTTTTTTTTTTTTTTTTTTGCACATGAATGGTAATACATGACTGCAATAGCATTTGATTTTGTACGAACATGTAACTCGCTCAAGAATACTGCAATTCATTAACTTAAATACTTTTTACTGTACCTTGAATGCATCTGTATTTCACTACAAGGAAAATGGCTGGGTATGTACCAACTAATGAGATTTTACCATTATGTTTCACCTCACAATAACCCTTGGTTACAGCTTTCAGATGACAAAACTTTTTGTTGTTGCACTTTATTTCTGCTTCTGAAGCACTTTTACAAGAAGTGTTTAGCCCTCCATTCCTAGCACAGGAATAATGATTCACAGGATTAGGATGAGCATAAAATGCCTCTGTAACCAATATCACCTCCCCAGGCAGACAGTCATCCAAAACTACCCAAGATTCCATATACGTTTCATGAATACATCCTATCTTTTGAAAAACAGTAGCCTTTCCTAAAAACAAATATGTACGTATGTCAAACTCCATCATTTTCAGATAAAAATAAAAAAGATTAATCAGATAGAATGCTGTCAGTGTTATCACAAGTATGATAACTTCCAGGATTGTTCAAAATCAAACCAAGTTTTGCATGATTGATCGTTACTCATTGACAAAAATTTTAAATCTTACCCATTATCACTGCAACCAGTGACATTATAATTTTATTAGCATTCTACAAAATGAAATTTTAAATATGTAACGCCACTAACCATAATGATATACTGGGCTACTTTTCCACATACCTTCATCGCCACAGGTGAGAGCTGTAAACAACATGCATAAATAAATCACTCTGTACAGTTTGAAAATCATGACTACCCCTGACAAGAATGAAGTAAAAACTAAACGGATACAGTTATAGGTGATTCAAAATATCCTATCCGTATCAGGAAGTAACAAAAACGTACTGTAGCGATGACCCCTGTCACCATTTTTTCTAAAAATTCATACAATATAAACCATGCATCATTCCCAGCCAATTTCCATGTCACTGACTATACAGGTAGAGTTGAATAGGAGAAAGACACCCTCAAGGCAAATAGACAATGTATGGTAAATGCTCTAAAATAAAGTGATACATTTAAGACTGTGATTTTATACAAATCTTTATATGTAAAATTTATTTTACATTTCATCTATAGATCTACTACATGTAATAATTAAGTTAGTTTACTGAAATCGAACACATCGCTGTGGGTGGTTCATATTATTCTATTATTTCAGAAAAATGCCTACCATAGAGAATAAAATATGATAATATAGCAATAAGAAATTGTTTATACTGATTGCTCACCAACAAACAATATTATATAGTCGTCAGCCTTTTCATTACCCATACGGTATCAAAACATGTTGAGGTTTTTATTCTTTCCCTTTAGTACGTCTAGTAAGGGAAATAGACAACGAATTGCTCTCTGTCCCATTTCAATTGTCAATTAAAGATGTAGAAAAAAATTAGCGGGGTAAAATTGGTGTACTTTAAATGAATTGAGCAATCTAGGAGACAAAAAAAAAACATGCATCTCATTTGCAACAACAAATACTGAAGGCAACATTCTTCAAAATTTTTATAAGGTAATCAACAATGCTCGATCTTCAAGCCATACAAATTCAATGCCAAATTGCTTTTACGCTTCTACTTGTAGTTCCATTTATTTATCCAAAGGCGTAGCCCCTTGCATGCCACCAGTGAGTGTCAAATGTAAATATTTTAAAAATGAGTATGAATAAAAAGAACAGTACTTAGATAAACGCTCTTGATCAGGGACGACATAATAAATTCATGTGATTGCAGTTACGCCCACTGCACAAATTCTTTCTTGCGCTTCCTTTCTGTTAACAGTATTTCACCCGAAGCCTCCACAGCATCCAGTGCGCGCAAAAACAAACATGCAAACACAGTCACAGCATTAAAAAAAACATAATGCAATGAATTCTATTGTCCAATGGCTCCATACTTTAGGTTTTGAGGAAAGTGAGGAAAGAAATAATAGCAGGATAGTGTGTAAGACTCTAGAGTTCTGGCGACGATTGCACAGCTGTACATGCCTCATTTTAATATTGCTTTCTAAAATGACAATTTTGACACAAAGTTTCATATCAGATTTTTTCCATTGTCGACATCATGTGAGTGACAAGCAAATATCATGGAATATTTGCAATCAGACTTTACTCTTAGGGTAATGCATGTTATTGTGCCTGACCATTGAATTTTCTCATCCATTGCACTCCCTCCTAGTTTATTATTATTTCTATTTATTTTTGTAATATCTTAAAACCCTTTATATTAGATATTCAATTTGCAGCAACACTGTGGGTGTTACTTATGCCTGAGAGAAGTATGTATTTATGTCCAGATCTTTAAAATTAGGATTGAACAGAATGAATAAGTTTGAATTAATGCTTTTCTTTGCTTGAATCAGTTGAAGATTACTAATAATGTAAGGAATTTGATGCTCCACAGGCTGTAAAAAGTTTAAATTTAAGCCAACAAGTGAACTTTTATTTTCCATTAGTTTTCATCACTGTGTTATTTTTTTTTTAGTAAGATACATAACAGTATACACAGTTTGAACAATTGTCAACAAATATTTATTTAAATTTAAATGATAGGCTCAGTTAGGAATATCTTGATAACTATTAAAAAACTTAAGTAAAAAAGATACTTGCTAAAAATTACTGGTGTTAACAAGAGCCATGACAATTAAACTTAACAATTAAAAAAATTAAAACATTTTTGTCACTTATTACATTCACAAAGAATTCCCTGGATGAATAACTTTATATGGCTGTAAGCAGGTTATGTAAATCATTTGACAATATGCATTAAACAGATGAATGGCTGGTTGAAAAAATATATGTATACAAATACAAAGTTGATAAGTGCACAAATAAAAATCATCATAAGTAATAAGTGCAAAGGGAATGAGAAATTTTGGGCAGGTGGATCTAGATGGTGTCAGTTTCCAAAGGGGGAGAAAAGACACACAGTAGGGCCAATCAAGTATATGTATGTTTTATAAAAAAAAATACACCATCTTTTCAAAAGTATTTTTCATAATAGTGGGTGTTCAAAAACCTTGAACCCCCCTCCCAGATTCTTGATTTTCTGGATCTTTGTAAATTTCTGTATGAAAACAAAAAACCTGCTCTATAGACATGAATCTTATAAATTTCCTAATGCAGTCTGTGAATGACAATATGCCACAGTCCCAGACATAAGTGTGATCCTTAAATACAACTTATGTCTGAGTTTTACCAAGGAACTAGATATCTACATGAACCCCTATGGTCTTACTGAGTTATCTTCAAAATCATCGCTATTGTATATATCATTGATATGAAGCACCACATCAGAATCAGTAGAAAGATTGCTGTCTCTATCCTTATCTTCATCCCCTACATCAGTACTGTTTTTAAGTTTTGATTTCAGATCTCTTAGATTGCTTTGCTGGAAAAGAGCTACATGGTTTTCATAATAGTCTTTTTCAAAGGACTAGAATTCAAGGTAAGATATCTTTGGTTTGTCCCTTGCATTTTCAGATATGTCTATAGTGCCATTTTCATCTCTTTTCAAGGAAAAGGTAATTTCTTTGTGTCCACCATTGTTTTCAACAGTAATATATGGAGGAATCAGGTACAGGAGCCACCATGCTGTAGCTACATGTATCCATGTCTTACTTGAAGGTAACATTTTGATAATCTTGAGTTGGTGTTGAGTAGTTGATGTTTTTTCTTTGGATCTGATGCTTTGTTTTATGTAACTTTCTTAAAAACAAAATACAGAAAAAAATCTTCAAATGACAGAAAGATGGGGGAAATAGTGAATGATGATGCACCATTTAGGAATAAAGACGGTGCCAATTATTTTTTATATTAAGTGCAGTGGAACAATAACTAAAATAATACTTGAAACATTAAATCAATAAATGTAATAATACTAATAGCAAAGAGTCTATAATAGATATTTGAATTTTCATGGACCAATCCACCCTACCTCACTAAAGCACAGATGACCATGAGCATAACCAACACCACCCCACCACATGTACCAATTATGACCCACAGGAGGTATTTAGGTAGATAATCTGAAACAAATGAGGTTATCAAACTGTATGTTTACTGTCAGAGCAGAAAGGATATTCTTTTAATGCAGGAATTCTGGAAATGAGGTATACCTTTAATTCTGTAAAATTATATTGAGTTGGATAACTGCTGATAGCAATTCAAACCATCAACATGATTATCTAAGACCACCATTCACAATCAAAGGCAATTCCAGGTCCTTGCACCCCTCCCCTCACAGATCCTCTATCAGAATACTTGCAAGGCTATGACCATCCTCACTTAGGTTTACCCACCTGACACTTGCACCTGACCATGTGCTGTCACTGTACTGCCAGTGCCAGTGCCAGTGCTAGTACTAATATATACAGGGTGTGTTGTCTGCTCATTAACATAATATGGCCCTAAATATATATAATAATAGGACAAAGAATTATAATAATAATAATGCATATAATTGTAACATAGAATGGCCTTAAAATAATAATAATAATAATAATAATAATAATAATAATAATAATAATAATAATGTGTTTACTTGTAACAAAGAGTTTACTAATTTACATACCTATTCAGTTTAGCCTTTCATTGGTAAATTCAGATTAATCTAATACTTACGGTAAATCAGGCACTGGAAATTGAGGACTTCATTCAAATTCACAATTGTTTCTTATGACCATTCAATATCATAACAGCTAGCATAACTGATTTTTTCTCATATTTCAAATATAACTTCCATCACATTCATTATAACAAGGGCGTGGGGCCAAAATTTCGTCTGCACTTCAAGCTCTCTCTCTAACAGATGTGACTTTATTTTTTTAATGGTGCAACTGAGGCATTCGGCAGTTCTGTCATGATGGAAATTGCTTCTGTTGGTCTGAGGGAAATATTTTCTCTAGTTTGGAAATTAGGCAGGCTACAGCTGGTATGTTGTATTGCATTGTTATGATACAAGGTTGCATTTGGGGTAAACCAAGGAGTTATAACAGTCTGTTTTATCTCCTTGGGTAAACACAGTGCTGGATCAGTCTATAAATACTCACCATACTGACAAATGAAGGGAAGTATCCAAATATTTCTTAGAACACTACTATTTGTCCACTGTCCATTATAACTCTTAAGAAGTATTACTGAAAGGAAAAAAATTAAATTTAAGCTTAAAACTAACAAACTATGTCTGTTATCTGGAGAAAACAGTGCTTATGGCGATTTTAATCAATTTAATTTAAACCCCATCCAATTATATATATATATATATATATATATATATATATATATATATATATATATATATATATATATATATATATATATAATTTCTTTTTTATTACTGTTTTACTAAACTACATGTAACAATATGACAATACTATTATTAAAATCTCTATGCAGTAAGATGATTTAGAGACAATTACATGTTTCATTTGCAATACCTGTTTTCTGCAATGTGTGGAAATATTCAAATCCAATTTTCTCAGCCTGCCAGCCCAGGTACTGGACCACACCCTCAACACTGGCGTCCACCAATGTCCCATTCTGTTCTTCACACATGATTTTTGCTGCTTCCCATTTCGTGAAGTTCAGTTGGAATTCATAACAGCAGTTGTGGAAAGTTGAAACCAGCAAACGATTTGGACATAATGATGAGGGTATTGCTGAAATAAACAAAAACATGCCATTTGATCCTTTTCCCAAAATAAAGGAGCAACTTATGGAACTTTTCTGATGTCTTTTGTAACATCTTCAGTTCAAATATCCTATTTCTTACAAATATCCTTTTTTGATTACTACTCTTTCTAAAACTTTGCCATTTTCATGAAAAAGTAAATCAAAGATTGAATGCATGCATGTATGCAACCACTTGGATTAAGGGACCATTCCCAGACCCTATCGTACTAACTGTGGTTCAATCTATCTCCAAGGGGATTCTCGCTAAATTGCAATCAACCTAAGCGGCTTAGACGTTTTTCACACCCACTGACACTGCCATGGGGTAGTTAATTATCATTTGGCAGCTTCAGTAGGTGTGCCAGATATCTAAGCCATTTAAGCTGAAAGCAATTTGGCTAGAAAACCCTTGGAGATGGATCGATTCTGTTAGATGGATCTAGGTATGGGAACCACGTCTTAGTCACTCTGGAAACATGAATAAGTAACTCAATAGTGTGGTACTAAAATATTGTCAATGTTTCCAGACAATTATAACAAAAATATCTACTTAGATTAGATTAATCAAAAATTATTTATGAGTATATAAGAAACCAAGCATTTTGTGGTGCTTTGAACATGTTTTTTTTCTTTAATTTTCAAATCAAAGTGTGAACTTTACATCCAAGAAAGAAGGTACCCTCAAACCTACTAAGTTTCCCACACTAAAATATATGGTAATGACTCATACTTTTCAGATACATAATTTCATAATCACAAAAATATATTTCTGTGAAGCATATATGTGGTGTTTTAACATCGTAGAATATAACTAGAGAAAAGCTTGGTTTTTAATTTTTCTGCTACTACTCATTAGGATTGTTCTAATTTTAAGAAGTTATGACTTTAAAGAATAAGAGTCTGTAAAGTTTTAAAATAATTTTCCCCCATTAAAAAGATTGAGTAATTACTGTACACAGATACTTACAACATACTGGCTGAACCCCATTCCAGGTAGAATCCCCCTGGCACTGTCTCTTGTCACTTCCAGACAGCGTTAGACCAGGGTCACACCCAAATTCAGCCTCAGAAAGCAGATTTCTTGAGGGAGGTAGCTTGATGTGGCCACCTGCTGGAGCATCCAATACAGGGCAAGTAACTGTCGCAGAGTTTACTGTAATAATCAATTCGAAGTAAACAAAAACTGATTATGAAATATTTTCAAAAAAGGGGTTTAAAAAAACAATTATGTCAACAAAAGTGTAAACATACTATAGTATGTTGACCTAAACCCCCATCCTCACCCCACTCAAACAAAATCCTGTATCCACCAGTGATGTGAAAAGGATTTCTATAACAAATCCAGCGGGCAAATTATGTTGTTTTAACGTTGAAACAACGTTGAACCATAACATTGAGTAGACATTGAATAAACGTTTGAAAGTTGTGTCAACCTCAGATAACAACGTTGTATCAACGTCAGAAAACAACCCCACCCAGCGGGACATTAGCCTGGATGTGTTTAGCAGTAGGACATGTTTGATGGCTAAATATATGTAGGGTATAAATGTATGGCCTTTAAGTTAGAATTTCCAAGATTTAGATTAATATACATAGTTCTTTTCTTATATATAAATATAAAACAAAGTCACAGTCACCGCAACCTGTCTCTCAATTACAGGTTACCAAGAACTGTTAACTCCATCACGTTTACAGCAACTTATTCATCCTAGTGTTAGCTGACCTTGCAAGCAATTCAGTTTATTGGAATGTATTTCTGAATAACAAGTTAAGAAAATTCACTAGTTAACTAAAGACACAAAACAACTGTCAATTTTACTTTAAAACCATTTTGTTATTATTTTGATAAATTTAGTTACAGTATTGATAAACAAAGTATTACGTTTTCAATAATTAATATTTTAAATTACAATCCATAACTGCAAGGTTGTGTCATTAACCAAAATACAACGTTGAGTCAACGTCACATTATGACGGTGTTTCGACGTGGCTGGATCAACGTTGATTTGACATTGAATTTAGGTAGATCAACGGCAATTCAACGTATCAACCTGTTTTCAACGTTGATCCAACACAACTATGCCTGCTGGGAAACTAGAAAAGAAATCCGTTTTACCTTGTGTGCACTTTTACTTATTGGTAATATTGAATAAAAACTTAATCTTTTTTTGAACATGAATGGCAACTTTTGGATAAGTCAATTCCCTTTTTCAGAATATTTCCCAATACATGGTTGCAACAGCATTTGATTTTGTACAAGCATGTAACTCGCTCAAGAATACTGCAATTTATGAACTAAATACATTTTACTGTACCTTGAATGCATCTGTATTTCACTACAAAGAAAATGGCTGGAGTTGTACCAACTAATGACAATTTGCCAAGTTAAACAAACAATTATGTCAACAAAAGTGTAAACATACTACAGTATGTTGACCTAAACCCCCACCCCCAACCCCACTCAAACAAAATTCTGGATCTACCAGTGATGTGAAAAGGATTTCTGTGGCAAACTGGAGAAGAAATCCACATTCCCTGTTTTGCCTTGTATGTACTTTTACTTACTGGTAATACTGAATAAAAATCTTTTTTTGCACATGAATGGTAACTATGGATAAGTCAATTTCCTTTTTCAGAATATTTCCCAATACATGACTGCAATAGCATTTGATTTTGTACAATCACGTAACTCAAGAATATTGCAATTTATCAACCTAAATACTTTTTACTTTACCTATAATGCATCTGTATTTCACTACAAGGAAAACAGCTGTATATGTACCAACTGATGAGAATTTGCCATTATGTTTCACCTCACAATAACCTTTGGCTACAGCTTTCAGATGACAAAACTCTTTGTTGTTGCATTTTATTTCTGCTTCTGAAGCACTTTTACAAGAGGTTCTCAGCCCATAATTGACAGCACAGGTATAACCATTCACAGGATTAGGATGGACATAAGATGCCTCAGTAACCAATATCACCTCCCCAGGCAGACAGTCATCCAAAACTACCAAAGATTCCAAATATGTTTCATGGATACATCCTGTCTTTTGAAAAACAGTAGCCTTTCCTGAATGAAATATGTATGTCAAACTCCATCATTTTGAGATAAAAATAAATGAAAAAAAAAAGATTGATCAGAATGTTGTCAGCATTATCACATGTATGATAACTTCCAGGATTGTTCAAAATCAAAGTTTTGCATGATTGGTTGTTACTCATTGACAAAAATCTTAAATCCTCCTCATTATCACTGCAACCAGTGACATTATAATTTTATTAGCATGTGTTCTACAAACTGAAATTTTAAATATGTAACACCACTAACCATAATGATATACTGGGTTACTTTTCCACATACCTTTATCACCACAGGTGAGAGCTGTGAACAATATGCATAAATAAAACACTCTGTACAGTTTGAAAATCATGACTACCTCTGACAAGACTGAAGTAAAAAACTAAACAGATACAGATATAGGTGATTCAAAATATCCTATCCGTATCAGGAAGTAACAAAACGTACTGCAGTGATGGTCCCTGTCACCATTTTTTTCTAAAAATTCGTACAATGTAAACCATGCATCAGTCCCAGCCAATTTCCATGTCACTGACTATACGGGTAGAGTTGAATAGGAGAAAGACACCCTCAGGGCATATAGACAATGTGTGGTAAATGCTCTAAAGTAAAGTGATACATTTTTAGACTGTTATTTTATTCTAATCTTTAAATGTAAAAGTTATTTTACAGTTCACATCTTCTACTACATTACAATTAGTTAGTTATCTGAAATCGAATACACCACTGCCTTTATGATTAAGTACAAAATATTTTTTTTAAAAATGCATACCAGAGAGGATAAGATATTATATCAAAGCAATAAGAAATTGCTTATACTAATGGGTCAACAATATGCAAAATTACATGGTTTGAAATGTATAGCCGTCAGTCTTTTCATTCCCCGTATCAAAACAAATTGACGTATTAACCCCCCCCCCCCCCCTTTAGCAAGGAAAATAGACCACAGATTGGTCTTCGTTACATATAATTGCCGATTAAAAGTGCAGAAAAATTATTAGTGGGGTACAATCGGTGTACTATAAAATGAATTGAGCAATCTAGCAACAACAAATTACTGAAGGTAACATTATTTGGAATATTTCAAGGTAATCAACAACGCTTGGTCTTCAAACCAGAAGATTTCAACGAAAAATCACCTTTTTTGCGCCTCTACTTGCAGGATTCATTTATTTTTCCAAAGGCGTAGCTCCTTGCACGCTACCAGTGAGCCTCTAACGTAAATACAGTATTTGACAAATGAATATGAATAAAAAGAACGGTACTTGGATAAACGCTCTTGATCAGGGTCAAGTAAATTTTGCTATAAAGTTCTTCTGATATTACAATTATCTGAATAATGATAATAAACACTCTAATTTGTTCCACCAAAAATCACTTTACAACAATATTTTTACATGATGTTGATGTAAATTTAATGGCATGTTTCAAAACCCACGGTTAATGTTATTTCCAGAAGAAAAGTATATTTTGCACTAAAACCCATCAAATAAATTTGTCAGTTGGTCACTAAATAAATTAATGGAAAATGAAATTTATTGAAATAAAAATGCACATTCTTAGATAACATATATCAAACGTCAGATATACCTGTTTTCGTTACAAACTTTGAAAAAATTATGCAGGGAAGTCTCCCCTTTTTTCTGGTCATCCTGATCACTTAGGCAGAGCAATAATTGGCAGTTCTCATTTTGAATTGTGTGAGAGACAAATACATTTGAAAAATGATTATAACCATTTGTGGGAGACATTTAGACAAATTTTACAACTATGCAGTGTATCAGTTCTGGTTTTCATCTTGAAAATTACCATAATCATATTTAGAGAGTCAGGTGACTTCCAGATCTGCTTATGCTTATATCTTTCTCCACGAGACAGACTTGCCGACTTCCACACCCGGATTCTCCACAGCATCCAGCGCGCATAAACGCAAACACGCACAGTCACAGTACATGTATAAGAAAACATAATGCAATTAATCAACATTGTCCTATGGCTCGATACTTTAGGTAAAATGAAGCGAGACTTCCCGGGTTTTGAGGAGAGTGAAGAAAGAAATAATGGAAGGATAGCGTGAAACAGTCTCCAGTTCTGGCGACAACTGCGCAGCTGTACGTGCTTCGTTTTTTTTTTTTTTATTATTATTATTATTGCTTTCTAAAATGACATTTTCCACACAAAGTTTCATATCAGACTATTTCCAATGTCGGCATCGAGCGAGTGACAAGCAAATATCATGGAATATTTGCAATCGGACTTTACTCATATGGTAATACACGTGCCTGACCAATTTTCTGAGAATTTTCTCAACCGTCGCACTCTCTCCTAGTTTAGTTATGATAAACTACTTTCAGAACAACCCAGCGCAATCAAACGAAAGATTCGATTCAGCGAAAGTCCACCATGAACGGTACCCTGTACTAGGGCCACAAATTGATTTTTCACTAGATATTAACAGATTTGTCTCTGGTTAAATAGATTGCTAATCTCTGTACAGTGGGACGGTAAGAGAGAGTCAAGAAGTTATAAAGAGTTATAACTTCTTGAGAGAGTGTAGGGTCATGCGAGTGGTTCATTTGAACTCGAGGCACGATTAGCATAATAATGTTATGAATTTCTTTTGTTATCAAATTTTGATACATGACAAATTCTGGGGGAAACTGTAGATCAATCATGACGCGGTGACATCGGAAGAGGCGGTGTAGAGGGAGTGTGTAGAGTCATGCTCATTTGAACTCGAGGAACGGTTAGCATAATAAGTGAAACCGTGACCAAACAAAGCACACTCGCCTTAGCTATAAATACTGGGAAGCGGAAAGATGGAGACGCTTGTCAAAACCGGTTTCTACTTTACATGTTTCACTCTAAGCTATGGATTTAATTTGACTATATTACACACCAACGATGTTCATGCACGGTTTGAACAGTTTGACAAGTTTGGAGGCAGGTGTTCGGAAACAGAGGCAGAAGCGGGGGGATGTTTCGGGGGAGTGGCACGAAGATACACTAAAATCGAGGAAATTCGTAACGCTGAACAGAACGTGGTGTTATTGGACGCAGGGGATCAGTTCCAAGGCACATTGTGGTTCACTATCTACAAGGGGATGGCGACATCATACTTCATGAATAAACTGAAGTACGATGCTATGGTTAGTATGGGTATATAATGTTTCTGCCTTCTTACCAGGGCCGCAGATTTTAATTTTAATTAAAATTATTTGCACCGTTGTCCACAGTGGAAAAATGAGCCATGAATTAGCTAGAGATACATATGTGAGTATGTAGTAAAAATCAATCCGTAGCGCTGGTAGAGGCTATTATATTTCTAACATACTACCTAGGTCAGGTGAACCTTCTCGGGTAAAGTGTCGGTTGATGTTATAACCAACGAAGAGTGAGCAACTTTTAACTTGCTTTCTTTTCACTGAGTCTACTGTATCACTAGTAGTAAAAAACTTTGTTTCTCACATTAAAAATTCTTATGTAAACTAATATATGCAAATAAGATGCTAAAATGGGGCACAGAATTTAAAAATGGTCTATATACATATGTACATAGATGAGTGTAAAAATTAATGAAAACGATAATAAAATAACTTATGCATTTTTGATGAGCGATAATTGACGCGAGTTAAACAATACCCGTTTCTCTACCACAGGTCAACTAGAACGTCCAGATATCGAGTACAACTGAAAATGTTTTAACGAAAATAAATCACACTTTTGTGGGATTTGATGATTGATGACTTGCCGTGATGGCAGTGCGTTCTTATCCAGGCCCGCACGCATTTAACCACTTTTGAAAACGATAGAAAACGACTTAAGTAACGCAGTTAGCCCTTACGCACATGGCTTTATTAATCCCGGCTCAACAAGAAGATCCGAGTCAAATTGCATGCCATTTGAATATACACCTAGGGTCAGTGAGGGGCCGTGCTAGATAAAATATGATAAAATATTGGGTGTTCCTCTACTTTTATAGATGTTTAATTGAGATAGCCAACACAGCAACTGACATTAAAGGTACTGTCAGGATTAGCCCAAAAACTCCTTATTGTCTACTGTTTTACATTCATTTTTTGGATAATCGATAAACCGTCAATGTTCACTGACTATATTCCTTAGCATTTACACAAATGTAAGCTTACCGATGATGTCATAATTGCCATTTAAGGGGAAAACCCCCGCAAAATCGGTTTCTCCTTTACCTGAGCACTCGCGAACAATTTTCACGCCATTGAGTACTTCAAAGCCGTGCCAGCGAATTTTTGTAAAAGCCTTAGTTCAGGTTTTATCGTAAATAAGGCAAAAAAGCCTTTAAACTCATTTCTCCATGAAAAAAATTAAACCAAAATGACGGCACGGGATACATTTGTCCTCACCTATGCCAATTTTGTGATAAGGTCTTGTTCAGGGATGGAGATACGTCCCATACCGAATGCTATTTCATCTCAAAATACATGAATAAGACGAGAAACGTTTTGGGGTGCCACATGTATGCTTATGCTAAGCAACGAGAAATACAAACGCTGACATTTCATATTTTAGAGGTTATTCTTATTGTTTTCAATCATTAAAACATCAAATAATGATTGAATATTTAGGTGCAGGAAGAGATTTTAACAGATTAACACTCTTCCTTCTGCCATTGAGTAGAATACAGAAAAGCTGGTGATGATACGAATACCCTGGAAATAAGAGGAGTCGTGTTTATCTGTTCAACACATTGTATTCAGCGAGAAAGCCCTAGGAGTTGGATCGATCTACGTAGAACGATAACTTCAATGAGAATGAACCCTTATATTAGTTTAATTCCAGTAAGTAGGCGTAATGCTTCTGAATGAAGTGACCACCATGATGTAAAGATCGGCAGCATTGGGGGCTAGCAATCACGCGTCCATTTTCTGTGGTTTCTGTGGAACTTTAAAAACTGTGTCTCAGAATGAGATGAACAGATACAATCAGATCGGATGAATATGTCTAAATTTTAACGTATACTGTGAAACCTAATTATGATTAAGATGTATTTAACATTCTTTCAGGCATTAGGCAATCATGAGTTTGATAATAAGGTTAGCGGCCTTCTTCCTTTTCTTCAAAATGTCACATTCCCTGTTTTAAGTACCAATATCGACGCCAGTAACGTTCCAGAAATACAAGGACTGTTCAACAAGTCAACAGTATTAGATGTGGCCGGAGAGAAGATAGGGGTTGTCGGTTACACATATAAGGCCACACCGACCATATCAAGCCCAGGTAAAACCCTCCTAACTCAAACTACAAAATGAGCATTTTACTGTCCGCATAGTTACTTAAAAGTGTAACTTGATAATAATAATTATTATTATTACATTCTGTTATGTAGCCTACTGTTATGTATAAAAGTATCTACCTACATGTATTAATATGTTGTCCTGCAAATCTTCATATTTAATTATGCTCTTATCAGTCCTGCTGATGTATGGGCGCACACACAAAATTAAAACAGTGGCAGATGTTACTCGTTAAATTG